ATGGCCGCTGAGCCTGCGCATCTGGAGCCTGTGCTCCGCAACGGGAGAGGCCACGACAGTGAGAGGCCCGTGTACCGCAAAAAAAAAAAAAAGAAGAAGAAAAAAAGGCTTCTCACAAGGGAAATAGCTGTATAACTAAACAGGCCAGTTCCCTGAAATAGAACCACAATGTCTAATTATTTAAACAAAAATGCCTATTAAATTATCGGCATGTAATGTTTAGCATCCTTGTTTTAATTAAAGCAAAAAGCAACTCAAATCAGTTATGTGCTCAACAGCTTTTACTGCAGCTATAGTACTATTTAGCCATGCACACAGCTAAGTAACAGTGGTCTGGGAAGTGCAACCCATATGCTCTAATGAACAGATCTTCAGTTATTAAAACTTAGCTGTAAGAAAAATGCCTCTACCTGATGGTGCACTGGATCCTGCTGTATTGCCATCATTCGAGGTTGAAACTGATCCATGTTTTGGTGCTGGGTATATGCTGGTTGCTGCATGCCATCTCCAGGAAATCCACTAAAAAAGATGAGTAGTCTTCTTTTCACCCATTCGAAAACACATGACTCTTAGCCACATTTATACTACAGAAACTTAAAGAATGCTGTTCAGGAGTTATTAATAATCAAACACTTTACTGAATCATATATTTGCCTGTATTAACTTAAACACAGCATTTTCCCTAAAAGTCATTTTTTATTGTAAATCTGACAGGATCTCCTCTCCATTCAGAAGAAAACCCCAAATACCACAATTAAAAAAAAGAATTTTAAAAGACTATGTGAAGAGTGATTTCGTTATTAAGTGTTACTTGCATTATGCTTTATAATGACTACCAAATATCTATCTGCTGAGGAATCAAAAGAAAGCAACTCACAAGGGTGCCTGTGGAGGAGAAGCAGCAGTCGCAGCAACAGAAGGTACAGCAGCAGCAGGTGCAGGGGGTGCAACAGCAGCAGTAGGTGCTGTGGTGGCAGCGGCGGCGGTAGCGGCGGCAGCACCATCTTCTTTCTTTGATTCTTCCACAGCTTCCGGCTCATCATCGTAATCAAATCTATCAAGTAGCTTCTGGAATAGGTGTGTATGTCAATTTTCCATTTTAAAATTCAGACTGTGATTCACTGAACAAAAAACTTTATAAAAACAGGTATATACCACCATCTATAATCCCGCAATGCTGTCATGTACAATTTCACCTTCCCACATGCCTCTTAGGACCCTAGTTCACAGACAATTTTTACACAAATGCCATTTTGAAAAGACACTTTAAAAAATTCTGTTTTTCTTCCCCAATTCTAAGTACAGTGTTTTCTGACTATTTTCTATATGATTTTATAACTAATTTAGTGGTAGAGAGATTTTACCCATTCATTTTCCCAGACTAAAAACTTTTGGAACTGTGCACATATGAAAATGGGTACACATTTTCAGTCGGCTTTGTAAAATGTACAAAAAGAAAGACCATCTTATCCAATCATTATAAATGCCTACAGAAAAATGTCCATATGCTGCTTGATCGAGAATATGAAAAAGAAAAAAAAGAATGGCACAGATAGGGCAGCAAAGTCTACCTGTGCACTTGCTTCTTTCTTAAAACTTCACAACCCACCTTAGATTACCAGAAACTTTCATTAAAAAAAAAAAAAAACAAAAAAACCAATCAGTGCACTTCACAGGATCACATGTCTAGAAGAAGAGCCGTTTAAAATATGGTTACATTTACTCAGAAAAGAAGGAATGCAAGTAATACAACCACTATTGTTTTGATAGATTATACACAATATTTCATCATCAAAAGAAGCATGCAATGTAGATATAGCTGCTTCTTCTTACAGACAAGGAGACTAAGGCTCGGGTAATTAAGAAGCATAACCAAGACTGTACAGTTAATACATGTACAATTAGGATGTGGACAATGGTCTTTTCTACCTCAAAGCCCTCAGTCTCTGGCATCCAACAAGGCAGTCATTTCTCTCAGGCTGTGCCCTTCCTGCTCATGGATTTCCAACCTCAAATCCCCAAATTTGTATTGTTCTGTGATAGTTCTGCCTGGAAATTCTGGTTCTACTTTATTGGACAACAGATTTTTAAATTAGGAAAGGAAGTCCCCTTCTTGGACAACACTTCTGTTTCTTTCTTCATAATTCTAGGCCACGTGACTAAAAGTTCTTATTATAACCAAGTGATCTAACATGGCCCAGGCACCTTGCTGCTTTACGCACATTAGCTTACTTAACCCTCATGGCAATAAAAAAAATATAGGTACTACCATAGCTCTTTTACAGTGGTACACAGTGAATACTGTAACTCAACATCAAGACAGAGTCAATGACAGGAGCCAAAATTAAAACTTGGGTCGAAACTGCCTACAAAAAAACCACAAAGCCTATGATCTTTGCAGTTTATCGCATATAGACATGTTCCTTAAAGTTTTACGATTTATACCTATTGCTTGGGAGAAGATTTGAAGCAATTAAAAAATTAAACTGAGATCTCTACTATCTAAAGACATTTCTGTTGCTTTTTAGGAAACTGAAGATCTATGAAGCAGCCAAAATAGAAAAACTGTTCCCAGTCACCTGTTTGACTAGCTTAAAATAGACCTTTACAGTCAAAGGAAAAGCACAGAATTCCTTTTTCTAAACTTAAGGTAACTAACAAACATTGGCCACCCCACTTAAGATAAAACACTAGAGGAATTAGTTGCAATTCAAATTAACAACAAAACAAGCATGTCAGTAGCACTGCTATTACTCAACATTTCTTTTTTGGAAGTCCTAGCCACCAGAACAGTAAGAAAAGAAAAAGAAACAGGCCTAGATGTTGAATGGGAAAAGTCAAATTTAGTAGCCTAGAAAATCTAAGAGAACTACTAGAAAACTAAGCTTCTAATACCATGATAATTTACAACATAAAATAAAAATCAGTAGTTTTCCTGTATGGCATTATTGACTAAACAAAAGTGTTATAAAACACTAAACATGAAAACTGAATAAACATCTAAGAATAAATGACACAAGAAATGTACGACATATTAAAAATCTAATAAATTGAGATTCTGTGTAAGAAATTATCAGTACTTCTTAAATTAACCTATAAATTCATAACAATGTATGCTAAAGTTCATCTGGTAAAGTATGCTGTGATGATCAATTATATGTGTCAACTTGGCCAGGTTATGGTGCCCAGTTGTTTGGTCAAAGATTAATATAGGGCTTCCCTGGTGGCGCAGTGGTTGAGAGTCCGCCTGCTGATGCAGGGGACGCGGGTTCGTGCCCCGGACCGGGAAGATCCCACACGCCGCAGAGTGGCTGGGCCCGTGAGCCATGGCTGCTGAGCTTGCGTGTCCGGAGCCTGTGCTCTGCAACGGGAGAGGCCACAACAGTGAGAGGCCCGCGTATCGCAAAAAAAAAAAAAAAAGATTAATATAGATGTTGCTGTGAAGGTATTTTAAAAATGTGATTAACAGGGAATTATTCCCTGGTGGTCCAATGGTTGGGACCCTGCATTTTCACTGCCATGGGCCCAGGTTCAATCCTTGGTTGGGGATCCCCACAAACCACATGTGCATGGCCAAAAACAAACAAACAAACGAACAAAACAAAATAAAGAAAACATTGGGAATTCCCTGGCGGTACAGTGGTTAGGACTCTGTGTTCTCAGGGCCTGGGTTCAATCCCTAGTTGGGTACTAAGGTCCCATAAGCTGCATGGTGCAACAAGGGAAAAACAAGTGATTAACATTTAAATTAGTAGACTATGAATAAAGAAATACACTATAATGTGGGTGTGCCTCAACCAAACATAGGCCTTAAGAGCAAGGACTTAGGTTTAGGTTTCCCAAAAAAGGCATTCTCAAGACAGCAACATGAAAACCTTGCCTTGCAGAATTTAGACTCAAGACTGTAGCATTAACTCTTACCTGAATTTCCAGCCTGCCACTCTGACCTACAAATTTCAAATTTGCCAGCCTCAACAACTGTGTGAGCCTATTCCTTAAAGAAAATCCCTCCCTTTCTCCCCTTTGTGTGTCTGTGTATAACTGGTTCTGCTTCTCTGGAGAACCCTAACACATATGCCCAAGAATAGCCAAAGAATGCCTGAGAAAGAGTAAGGGCAGAGAACACATCTAGAAATGAAATACAAGTTCCAAGTGTTTAAACTGTTATGCTGCAGAAATAAACAAAGATATTAGTGGGACAGAACAGTGTCCAAAGACAGACACAGAAACAAATGGCAATTAAATGTATGACAAAAATTGTGAGAATTGGCTATTTGCAAAACATAAAGAGTTAACTATCTTGAACCATATTCTAAAATAGGTTCTTGATAGAGACAAACATGAAAAACAAAAATATAAGACTACTAGAAGAAAGAGAATTTTTAATACAAGTTCAGGGAGTTTTCCTAATCATAACACAACACAGAAGACTAAAAAACAAAACCACAATACATAACAATTTATGTTCACATATGGATGGGAACATACACAACTCTGTTCAAAGCAGAGTGGAACTGATTTCCCTTTCTACTTTAGAACTTTCTGTATTATTTGCAATTTTTTCCCTAAAAGCATGTACTTCTTTTGTACTCAAAAATTTTATCCAACCTTCTTTTAATAAGTAGTCATTCATAAACCACTAAGATAGAATAGCAAGCAGTAATTATCATATGGATTCTTAATTTGGACTACCAGCAATAAAGTTATTGTACCTTAGAATGTTAGAAAGAATCAAAAATTTTAGAGATGATTAAAAGATACTTCGTTCTAGGATTTTCAAACTTTTGTGGTTTTTGCACTGCAACTTGTAAAATGAGATGCAACTGTATAGTCATAAATCCAGTAAATAGACATGACATAAACAGACAAGAGTGGAGTTGTCTGGGCTAACGTTTCAACAGGAAGCTCTAAGTTGGGCATATTCAGCACATCTAAATCCTTAGTGGCAGCTCCTTAAACATAACAAAGGCCCAACAGAGAAGTTGGAAGACACTCAACCAACCCAAACCCTCATATTATAGATATGGTAACTAATGTTTTTAACAGCAGAAAACAGAGAGCAACTTAAATGTCTATCAATAGGGGAATGGCTACATTGTGATGTGTCTATGTAATGGAATACTCCTAATAAGCACTCAGTAAATGTGTAGATTTACATCTATTAACCTTAACAACAACAAAGAGACAAGAGGATTAATATCAAAACAAGCAAGTTAGAAACAGTGTGTATGTATATATATGTGTATATATATACTAAAAACACACACATATTTTTATATATGCACACACATATATAATGACCAAAAAAGAAAAGCATATATCCAGGAAATTAATTCTGAAAAGATACACAGCAAAATATTACAGTAGTTACCTTCACATATGGGGGTTAATGGTGAATGTTCCCCTGTTTACTTTCCTTTACACTGTTTACTTTTCCTTTATATTGAAAATTGTGCAATGAGTATATATTAGATTTTTAACTAGGAATAATAATCAATGTTTTGATGTCGAGGGGGAAAATCCCTCAAATTACAAAACAACAAAATGAACAAGCCAGAGAAGCTAGAGAAGGGGTAACTTCCACATTCCAAGTTGAGTGATGTAAACAATGGGGTGGGTTATGTGAGAGAAGCATACCTTGTCAAATGCAGTTTTTTGTTCAGGTTGGGGGAAAGCAGCTTTTTGTTCAGGTGGTTGTGTAGGAGCTGTCTTTAACTGAGCTGTGATAGCCTGAACCTGAGCCATCACAGCATTGTCAATGGCGGGAGACTGTGGTTTTGGAGGCTGTTGAAAAGTCTGAAGGATCTGCTGAAGCTTAAAGAATGGGAAGACTGATAAACCACATAATAAAGTATAATCACAGTATCAAAAGTTAATTTACTTAAAAAAAAACCTTAATGGTGACTCAAAATAGCATAGGCACAGAGTAAACTGGAAAAAGGAACCAACCTTTTAATAATGGTTAAGTTTATTGTGAATGAATGTATCAGGGATATAAGATGTGTCACTTAAGGTTAAAAATGTATGCTGATACCCCAACAGTAGAAAATGATGGTCAGAGAAAAGAGAAAATACACTGAATTATGAACAAGGTAAATATGTTTTTTAAAAAAGTGTGAAAAAAAATCATCTCCACCAATCCAAATAATTTTGAAATCATATTGAAATGCCAGAATTGTGAGCAACAATACCACCACTCAGCAGTTCTGCAGTTCTCTCCAAAGGGGTACTGCTATTTCTCAGTGTGCTGTTCCCTTGTTTCCCACATTCCCCCTATTATCCCTATGTAGTATCCCTTCCCTTCCTGGTAAAGGCCTTTCTAGTTGAAAAGTAGAAATATTTCCTCCCCACAATGTGCTCATTAACCAGGAATGAAAAATAAGAACTGACAACAGTACCTAACTGCAAACAATTTAATCTTTGGATAGGCAGTTTACCTGTTGACCTTGAGTTGTCTGAAACAGTTGGGCCACAGCAGCAAAAGCATCAGAGCTGGGCAACTGTGGTACAGTTGGTATGGAGTTTGTAGTGGCTTGTGAGGGTTCAGAAGAAACTTTAACTGGAGGTGGAGGTGAGCCTAAAAAAGAAAAGATCATTAAGCACTCAGTAAACTTTAACTCATAAATATTCCTTTTAATCTCCATTAAGCTTCTTTACTAAAATAATACTGCATTCAGTTTAACATAGAGTAAAAAAATACAGATTATGGTAATACAGCCTATACGGTAACAAGCACTGAATACTTTTATTAGAAATAAGAATTATGGGAAGAAAACTATACCTTCTAAGATGTAAACTCAAGTTCCCTTCTTATAGAAAACTTCCATCACTATAAACAGACTCCAAACACTTCATGCACAAGAAATTATACCATCTTCTAAGCTCACAGATACATCTGCCATACCTTCATTATTAGTAACATTTTCTGTTACTGGGGCGGCATTACTGGTTCCTGCTGCCATGTCCAAAAGCGGTTGAATGATTTCAATTTTGAATACTCCATTTTTTTGCCAAAGGTTCAGCACACGAACTATTTTACTCTGTTATGTGTGAGAAAACATAAATATACAATAAATACTTGCATAAATAATTTATTATACCTCTTACAAAAAGAGGAGGAAAAAAAAAACACCGCAGGCTAATATTTTCATGCTATATCTGTTTCATAAACAGAAAAAAAATCTATCATCAGAATTACAACCTGGTTAAACTACACTAACTGACCTTTCTTCAGTAGTGCAATCTAGAGTAAGAAACAGAAGGGGGGAAAGAAAGAGCAAAGAAATATAACCTAGAGAAGCAAAAGAAATGCATTATAATACTTTTTGTATCTGAAGTTTCCATTATATTTTACTTATGATTACAAAGAAACAACCATTTATTTTAGAGAAGTGAAGAATTTTCTGGGATGACTATAACAGTTAAAATATTTAAGACAATTATTGGCCTGTAATTGTTAGGTGGACTAGTAAATATGAAGGAGATCCAGAGAAAACGTGATATTCATGGTTGTAACTCTTATTTCCTACTCATGGAATGATCTTCTTTTCTCTTGTATATTTTCCCCACAAGAGCATTCCTTCAAGAATATACAGAATCCGTAACACTCAAATTTATATGCTGTTTATTGTATCTCCAGTCTTCATTATTCTGAGTCTACCAGTGCATTTCTCCCACCTATTGGAGTCTAGTTTTCTGTCTATAATGTTTTTCTATCTTTTTATAGTACATAGTAAAACCAGCTATAAATGTGAGGACTTAAATACTGTAGTCTGATTGCTAATGAATACCATTTATGTTCTAGCAGCTCTATATGCTGGGGAAAGCCATCAATTATTGGTCCCTTCCTTTTGGAATAAGCAACAACCTAAGATAAGCATTGCTCTCCTCTACTTGCAGAATTTCTTTACCATTCAACCACAAGAAATCTTTCCAACAATGTCTTCTTAAAGCAAGATTGTGCTCCTTTTATATTTCAACAGTACAACATTCCTGAAGGACTTCCCAAGGAAACAGATATGACTACTATAGGAAAAACTGGGTTTTGTTTCATGATTATCTTTCTAGTAATACAGTAGGCTTTAAATATCTAATATTCATTTAAATAGATTTAAGTAGATACAAAAACAAAACAAGAATACAAGCTTAATTTAAAAATTATAAACTCTACCTTATCTTCAGATGGACAAAGATACAAATATTGGAATGTGGCAGTTATGTTTTTAGAGAATCTTGGCCCAAAAACATCTTTATCAGTTCCAAACTGATGACGAGACTGTCTCACAATTGAGTCGATTACATATAATCCCGGAACCTTGTATTCTGGTTTACACTACAAAGATTAAAGATGTAAATTCAATACAGGAAAAGCAAATCACAATTTGACACCCATTAATCTCACTTTCATGAAACTATATATCCAGGAATTATTTCTATTTAGAAACTACTTGAATGTTTAGTTCTCACTGGCTAGCTTGTCAAATTTCCCACAGGTCTGTACAGAATTGCCATTCTCTTGATACTTCAGACCCCCAATATTCCACTTTTCTCTGATCCCTCTGTCTCCCCACGCACAACTTCCCAGAATCAACATTACTTTACCAATCCCTAAGCCACCTCCATACAAATCCACTTATTATGGATAAATCTCTGCTGTAATTCATCCCGCTCAAAAAAATAATTTTTACCTTTTAAAATGATCAAGATCATTTTAACAACATATCAATTTCAATTCTATTAAAGTACAGTACCAGAGAAACGAAAACTGAAAGGAGAGGTCATTTTTGGCCTTTCAAATTGACAAGGTAAAATGAATAGACACACACCTGCATACATTTCTGGTGGTACAACCTTTATGAAAGATGATTTAGCAATAAAAGTTAAGCCTTATTTGATCCATCAAGTCTATTTCTAGAAATTTATCCTAAGGAAAACAATTAAGATGCCTCTGAATTTTTTCCACACGGCTAGCCACTGAAGTGAAATGGCCAGTAACAGGGAACTGGCTTAGTAAATCGTGAAAAACAACCATATGTTAGAATACTTTGCAGATGTTTATAATAAATTCCGTGGGAAAAGCAGGTTATCCATCAGCCTATGTCTTCATTTTCCTTTTATAAATGTACATGTACATATTAAAACATGAGCAAATATTCATCATAACTGGGGTGGTGGCATATAGGTAATTTTAATTTTTTTCCCGTTTTATTTACTGGTACTTCGATTTGCTACTATAAAAACCTTTATTGACTATACTTTTTGGTCTGTTGGAGCTCTAACTCCTATCTCGCAGCCAGTATTAAATGGCCATGGACCAGAGACACTCCCACACACATTTATTAGAGTGTACTACATGGCATAGCTCCAGGTTGGGGGAGAAGAGAAGGATATCTAAGTAAGTCTCCGTTCTCAGTCCTTTACTGAGAAAGACGTGTGCTAATCACACCATATAATCGTAGAAGTGAAAAACTGTTTAATTATGATGGGAGCAGGGGAAAGTTGGAAAAACTTTAAGAAGTAATTTCATTTGAAGTACTCCAAGATGAGTTAAATGTCAACAGAGTAGACAGGGCAAAGGGGAGAGAAAGCACATCAGGCTCAAGGAAGAGTCCTGTTCAGTAGAGAAGAACTGTTGTTGAATCCTACCTCATAGTAAGTGCTCAAACAGTACTGCTATAAATTTTTGTTTTGTTAGGGAAAAAAAAAACTCTAGTGATTAAAAAGAACTTCTAGTGACAACTTTTCTGTAGAGTGGCTTTAGAAGCAATTATCCAAATTACTATTTACAAAGTAAATTACAAATACTGATCACAACTGATCACAACTAAAATGAGGTAATAAATAAATAATTACCTTTTTGATGAACTTTTCTACTATTTGAACTACATGCTTATAAAGCTGAAAGGAATGAAAAGAAAATCATTATCCAGTTTACATACTTCTACATTTCCTGTAATTAGAAAACACTTAAAAATCTTGAAATTTGCACAATTTGAATTAATTCCCAAGATGATACTGAAAAAACATGGGAAACAATCCATACTCAACCCACAGTCAACAACTGAAAAAATCTTAACAAATCATAAAGAAACTACAAACTAAAACAGAAAACTACAAAAATTCCCCCAAACACAAGGTCTTTTTCTTAGATTTTTAATCAGTAAATCTTCATAAAGTAGTTTATCAAGGAACTTTATGAGAGGGATAAGAACAATGGAACTGGAACTAAATAATGCAGTTTTTAAAGAGACTCACTTATTCAAGGTGTGATTGGGTAAGACATTTACTTTCATGAAGTCCAAGGTTTTTAAATAAAAATGAAGCTAATACTCCACTGATTTATGATAAGAATTAAATGAAAACAAAACAAAAAAACCAAAAAACCCTCTGCCATTCTACTCTCCACTTCAATGAGTTCAACTTTTTTTAGCACCACACACAAAAAAGGCAATTATGTGAGGTGATGGACATGTCAATTGGCTTAATCGAGGTAATCATTTCACAATGTACACGTGTATCAAATCGTGTTCTATTACATTATATTACTGAATTTGTCAATTATACCTCAGTAAAGCTAAAAAATATAAAGGGAAAATATTAACAACAAAACAGGTTTTGAAGTAATATGTTACAATGTACATGCACCATACTGTATTATTATGTACTTTCAGCAAAACCTGGTGAGTGTTCTTCGATTCAGGCCTGAACTAATTCACAAGATGAATTCTCACATTTAACAGTAACATTTTCAAAATTTCAAAAACATTTTCCAAATTAAATATATTTCTTTTACTCTTACCTTAATAGCTTTAATAGCAGCTTTCGTGATGAGAATCATCTTGGCTCGAGAGATGGGAGGCTTCATATCCATAAGTGAAAAGAGCTTAAAAAACAGAAAAAGAGGAAAAAAATGTTTTAATTACAAGTAAAATTAGAGGTTAATCCTTCAGTTCTACAAATATATTTGTAATATATTAACTAAAAGAATAATAAATTTGGGGGGCTTCCCTGGTGGTGCAGTGGTTGAGAGTCCGCCTGCCAATAACCGCAAAAAAAAAAAAAAAATTTTGGAACTAAGTTTAATAATTCATCTAGTAAAGAAAAACAAGAGCTTTCCTACATACTGGCATCAGCACTTCGAAAATACAACGGGAAAAAATCATATTAAAAGTAGCAAAAGAGGGGGGGGGAAAGGTAAAATATTTACAAAATCTGTAACAGAAAAAATTACAAAACTTTGCTGGAGAACTCAAAAATGATTTGAGGGCTTCCCTGGTGGCGCAGTGGTTGAGAGTCTGCCTGTTAATGCAGGGACACGGGTTCGAGCCCTGGTCTGGGAGGATTCCCACATGCCATGGAGCAACTAGGCCCGTGAGCCACAACTACTGAGCCTACGTGTCTGGAGCCTGTGCCCTGCAACAAGAGAGGCCACGATAGTGAGAGGCCCGCGCACTGTGATGAAGAGTGGACCCCGCCTGCCATAACTAGAGAAAGCCCTCACCCAGAAACAAAGACCAAACACAGCAAAATAAATAAATTAGTTAATAAACTCCTACCCCCAACATCTTCTTTAAAAAAAAAAAAAAAAAAAAAGATTTGAATGGAAACAAACACACCACGTTCCTGTACTGAAAACGGCAATACTGTGACTCAATATTTAATATTTCATTCCAAACCTCATTGAGATTTTGGAGAACTTCAAATAATTCTAACGTTCATTTGGAGAAACACATGTATTACATCAGGCAAGAAATTTAACATGCCATTATAAAGCCTGAATTCACAATTTCTTGATTTAGTCAGGAATAAAAATGACACCATATTTAACAAATCTCACTACATCAAATCCAACAATCAGGTGCTCACAGGAGACTTAACCACACATGCATACTCCTTCCCCCTAAAGTTTAAATCCAACCAAGATATAATGATAGCCCATAGAGGGTTACAAAGATAAAAGACATTAAGCTTATATCTAGTTTCTTAAATTCTTGTTTTTGTTTTGTTTTAATCATAGACACACACATACTCTTCTAAAAATACATCTTGAAATAAGTTTCAGGGCTTCTTGAGCATTATCAACCTTATATGAACCATGTTTCCATTTCTTTCTAATTAATGTTGGTATTTCAAATATGGAACCCCTAAGACATAGACCATCTTTACTAGACCACTACTAAGAGGCTACCCTAAAGAACAAAAGTCTCCTTTCCCAGAATAAATAGCCCTACCTAGCGACATACCTTAAATTGCCTGGCAACAGAATTTTCACAGCTTTTCGAAACTACAGACACAATGGACTACAGACAACGGTAACAGTAATTTTTAGAAAAAGTATGCAATGAAAGATATAATCAATTTAAGAACCAGATACACACCCTGCCTAAGAGAAAGGTAGAATTTTTCCATAAATAATACTAAGATACAGAAAATGGGAAAAACACAAAGATATTAACGCAGAAATTCATTTTTTAAAAAGCAATTAAGTAAATACGGTCATTCTTTATCATTTTATTTACCAACATAATTAAAATTCTCCTTGAGAATAAAAGCTCACTAATTGAAAAACAATTAGAAAGGAGACTAATCTTTGAAACTATAAAGACCAATGAGAAAATATGAAATGATTTAAAATATTTCAACTTCAACACAAACTGAAAAATATCAACACTGCATGAAATATACAGCACACATTTTATAAAAGGGCATGTTCTGCCCATTTCTAAGTTATAAAAGTTATTAAGACAGTTGTTTATTGCCGTGGTTCTATTTCCTCCTCTGGACCTTAAAGCAGAGAAAGGGGAGACAAAAAAGTTTACACATGGATCTTAAGAATAAGTTAACAGTGGGACTTCCCTGGTGGCACAGTGGTTAAGAATCCGCCTGCCAGTGCAGGGCACATGGGTTCAATCCCTGGTCTGGGAAGATCCCACATGCCGCAGAGCAGCTAATGAGCCTGTGCACCACAACTACTGAGCCTGCGAGCCACAACTACTGAGCCCACATGCCACAACTACTGAAGCCCACGCGCCTAGAGCCCGTGCTCCACAACAAGAGAAACCACCGCAGTGAGAAGTCCGAGCACCACAACAAAGAGTAGCCCCCGCTCGCCGCAACTAGAAAAAGCCCACGCGCAGCAACAAATACCCAACACAGCCAAAAAAAAAAAAAAAAAAAAAAAAAAAAAAGAATAAGCAACAGTGAGAACTACTTCTCTGGCCATTAAAAGCTTAGAGACTCATATTTCAATGAAGCCTAAGCCAGAGCTAATATTCATTTAATGTCCCAAATAGCACTTCTTGATTATTTCCGCAGTAGGGAACTCCCCATATTAAAACAAAACAAAACAAAACAGACAACTGAGCACAGAAGACAGACCAGTGGTATCTTCTGATGAAACGCTCCACAGTCTATACTTAAATCATAATTTATTTAAAAGAATTAAAGTACAGACTACAGGCAATAGAACAGCAAGAGAGCATTCAAGTGCTACCATCTAAGAGATAGAGGAAGGGTGTTTATTCCACTAAAGAAGGCACAACTCAGGAAAAGAGGAGGGAACCAACACTGAGTGCTTATGTATAAGGAAGAATTACCTTTGGTGGTACATTATCTTATTTAATCATATTAACAATTAACATAGATTGTTACACCTATTTTGAGATGATACCCAAAGGGATTGCATCTGTTTTCGGATGATGCCCAGGGAACGGGTCTGGACTAGAATTTTTTGATTTTAAAGCTTACAATCCTTAATAGCATAGTCATCTCCTTGTACGATTGCTGCTTATTGACTAAATACATGCAGAGACCATTAACTATGATGCGGAACACAGACAAAATATCAAGTAGGCATCTGTGCCTGTCTATATGTATACTGTATTGATTCAGGGATAATGATAAGACATAATGAATTTAATTTGGGATGCCTACTGAATATTCAGGTAGAGATTTCAGCAGACTGGAAAATGCATCTTGAACAAAGAGGTTCTGCTAGAAACTGAAAGGTCACAGAATCAAAGCCATGAGGATGAGTAAGACGAGAACAAAGATGATATAATTAACTAGGGTATACCAAATATTTCAATGTGGTACAGAGAAGGGAGTTGCACAAAGGGAACACCAGGAAAATAACAGAAATTAAAGGTATTTGGCAAGGTCAAATGCTATAAATTAGTTTTTGTGTATGAACGACTAGTATATCATCTGCAACAGGGCAGGTGCTCAATAAACATCACTAGGTGCAGTGTTCTCCCTGTTATTACAGATCTGCATTCAGAATTAATGTAATCTGTCAAAGAAAACAAATGTGTCAAAGCAGCCAGAGAAAACCATGCAACTCTCTTATATAAAATAATAGCTGCAGTAGGACCCAAAAGGTACAAAACCTCCTTAGAAAGCCTTAGTAAGAAAAAAATACTTGTCAGCAACAGATATGAGTTTGTCTTTTTGCTGTCACCAGCTAAGTAACTATTAGAAAATACTAAATATGAACACTGCTCTGCTGGGTGCCTGATTTACAAGTATTCTAAAAATTATGAAGAATCACTCACAATGATCCCTTATATCAATAAAGAACAGCTTCAAAAGAAGATAAGGAAGGAGCATATTTGGCCATGACACCTGTAGAATTCATAGTGTTTGGGGGTTAGTCAAAGTAACATGATACTCTGCTATTTATTAACAGTATAAACGTCGACAAGTTTAGTTAACCTTTTCTAAATATCAAGGATTTCTGAAATCTGAGAAAAAGGATTAATAGCACTCACTTCACTGTTAAGACTGTTAAGATTAAATGAGATAATGTATATAAATCTCTTAGCCTAGTACCTGACATATAAATGGCTCAGTAAATAGAGGTATATAATGCCCTGGGAATCTTGACACACACCTCGAGTTTAATTTTTTGTTATGGCTTACCATAATACCTTTTTTGTATTACATCTACTATTCAAGTGCTGACTGAATTTAGAGAAATTTTCTCTATACGGAAAATACAGTAGTATCAAAGAGTTTTAAAGCTGTATAGCACCTTAGTATGTAATCCAGTACTCATACCAAATTCAGAACTGCTTTCACAATACACCCGGCAGGTCCCACATTAGTCCACAGGCTTAATAACTAACTCATAACTAACCTGCCCCAGTGGTTACAGCAGTCTTCTTTGTACTGACCCCAAATCTCCCTTCTGATAACCTTCCCTCCCTCTCCTGTTCTAGTTTTGCTCTGGAGCACAGAACAACAGTGATCTTTCTCATGTGATAAAATAAATGTTATAACTAAGCATGTTTCCCTTTCTCTTACCTTCTTCAACTACTAGCCAAATGATATGATTCCTAGATGCGACTATCCTGGCTAATTCCTTTTAAGTATAATAAACCAAATATATTTGGTTTATTTGGCCCGGATATATTCCTGTAGAATCTAGTGGATTGTCTTTTGTATTAGTTTCCTATTCCTGCAGTAACACATTACCTTAAAACAACACTTTTGGAAGTCAGAATCTCCAGACTTCCCTGGTGGTGCAGTGTTTAAGCATCTGCCTGCCAATGCAGGGGACATGGGTTCGAGCCTTGGTCCGGGAAGATCCCACATGCCGCAGAGCAACTAAGCCTGCGTGCCACAACTACTGAGGCCTGCACGCCTAGAGCCTGCGCTCCGCAATGAGAAGCCACCGCAAAGAGAAGCCCATGCACTGCAAGGAAGAGTAGCCTCCGCTCACCGTAACTACAGGAAGCCTGCACGGCAACAAAGACCCAACACAGCCAAAAATAAATAAATTTAAAAATAAATAAAACTGTTACCTTGTTTTAAAAAAAAAGCATCTCACTAGTCTGAAACCAAGGTGTTGGCAGGGCTGCCTTCGTTCTGGGCGCTCTAGGT